TTTCTTTTCAGGTTAATACCGCTAAAACTTTTCCTTCCCGCTATAATAGCAGTTTTATTAATTTTAATTGTTGGGCTTCCATCTCTTATTATTGCTTCACGATACGTAAGTACCTAGTGCAAGTAATTTGTATTCTTAAGAGTAAAATAAACAGAATTTATAGAATATATAAATGACTACATATTAGAAAAAATGTATACATGTTGCATCACTAATAATTCGTTTGTTGCAAGTATTATTGTTTCCAGATGTCATCTATTCTCATTGGTATTTGCCATTCTTTTCTGGAGTCTTCATGAAGACACACATGGACCATAACCCACTTTATAGCCTTTTCTTTCCTGGTGCCTCTTGTGACAGTTCTCCAGAGCAATGAATAATCACGTACAGACAACCTACCACCTTAAGCCTACCTACTCATGTGGCCTTGATATGGAAAGTGAAGGTTTAAATTGTGTTCTTCTGGTGTCTGATGCCAAGTACTCATACAGATGGTCACCAAGCATTGTGGAAGAATCTGCTGTCTTGTCCTAAATATTAACTATCTGCATGACTACATGATCACAATCTAAGCCCTTTTTGTTTCTAGTATTGCAGGAAGAAAAGGGAATCCTTGTCTAAGGATGGAGTACTTCATGTTGGGTTCTTCCATCCATACTGTAACGCAGGTGGAGGAGGGGAGCGAGTTCTCTGGTGTGCAATCAAGGCACTACAAGTTCGGTAAATGCAGCATCTGCAGTAAACGTGTTAGACCAACAGGAGAGGGGAAGAAGTATTTTTCACTTTCATATTAACAAACTGGAAGTATTACACAATGGTCATATGAAATCACATAAACCAACTTTCCACAGTCATGCTGAATACATGTAATGTTCCTGTCAACAAGGCTGAAATATGGATAGTCATTTAACTACACATTTCTTAAAATTACATCAAAGTATTATTTTGTGTCAGGTTTTAACAAGAAACATTTGAAAATCAGATTCTGAAAGCTTACACATTAAGGACTTTGGCAGTTTGTACTTTTCACCTAATACTGTTTGGATGATAGAAAGGAGAGATGGGTAAGACATGTAGCAAGTATGGACCAAACAGTAAGTACACACAAAATGTTGGTAGGGAAGAAAATCCTTCGGATACCCAGATAAAATTCAGAATATTAACCATTTCCTTTACTATGTCATGTTACTGCTAGCAGAAATTTTGCTTACATTATTGGGAGAATCTCAGTTTTACTCATTACTGACACTGACATTTATTAATCTGTTGGTTATAGTTTATAATGTTTGACATGACTTCCTGGGCCAGTGTCCACTTCTAAAGATGGTTATATTTTTACTGATTATTTACAGGAGAATATTTGTTAGCTTAAAAGACTAACCTTCTTTATCTCTGAAGTACATGACATTAAAATAAACTAGACATGATTAACAACCAAACCTGGATAAGGGAATTGGTTAAAAATAGATCTTGGAGAAATAGGCCATAAAGATGTGATGGTGACTGGGAGGAATCATTTGACGTCAAGGAAATTACTTGATCACCTGAATAATTGCTAGTTAAATCCAGAAAGCTTAAAAATTTCAGTATGTTTAACTTTGTACTTTTGTTAGTATGCTGCTTCTTACATTGCCATTGTTGCATAATTTGTAATTTATTTTTCAGACACACTCATGTGAAGATTGTAGTTTATACAGGAGATTTAGATGCTTCTCCTGAAGAAATCTTGAAACGCGCTGAAAAGAGATTCAACATAAAATTAATAGATCCTATTCAGTTCGTATACTTACGGCGGCGGAGATGGGTCGAAGCCGACATGTATCCATACTTCACACTGTTAGGGCAGAGTCTAGGCTCCATTGTGCTTGGAACAGAGGCACTTACAGCATTTATTCCAGGTTAGGATTCAGCAAATTTTTAAGACATGCACATTTGCTTGATAAGGACCACTGCAACAAAAGTTGTCAGTAACTTTATCTTTCAAAAACGTGCAGTATGTTGGCTCATCTGTTGTTTATACTATACCTTTAACAGTAAATTGCTGTGGATAGTCAAATTCAGTGCTGGAAAGTATCTCTCTGTATCTTTGTTGTAGATCTTTACGTCGACACGATGGGCTATGCATTCACGCTGCCGCTTTTCAAGTTTGTTGGAGGCTGTAACGTGGCTTGCTATGTCCATTACCCAACCATTACTGGTGACATGTTGAGGCGAGTGTCAGGACATGTGATTGCTCATAACAACCGTCCATATGTTGCCCGCAGTCCATTTCTTACAGCGGGGAAACTCCTGTATTATAGACTGTTTGCATGGGTAATGACTTTTCATTAAGTTATGTAATGAACCTTTGTAAGAGTAGAGGAGTCGTGGTTGGTGCTCTGAAAGAGAAACACCAGTTTCTAACAAGTTCCTTGCACTGTGTGGTCAGTATAAGTCTGTAGAATGCTGTGGAGGTATTATACATGTGAATGGGACAGACTGAGTAGTTGAATTTTGAAAATAACTCATTATGGACTGACCTTGTGTAATAAGACATTCTTTTTCATAGCACTTTTGTTTTTGCAATAGCCGTGCTACATACAAATTTATGTAAAAAGTTATTATATCAGTTTTGTTTAGTACTTCTGTTTGTGTACTGTAGCTGATGATATTCATGCTAAAATGTTGTGTGTTCCATACACAAAACTGAAATTGAGTTATCTCACTGTACTTGTGTGACATGTTTTGATTAAACTGTCATCAAAGCATGTTAATTAAACAAGCGTGTGTATTTGTTCTTTGAGACACTGACATTCACCTGGTGAATTACTTCCATAATTTAAAACTTGTTATAGACTGCTAAAAATGTTAGAAAGTTGATATTCCTGTGATGATCATCATGAATGGTAAGTACGTAAGGAAAATTGTTAATATAAACGTAGGTCTTTAAGAAAATATAATGTGTTATGGCAAGGAAATGCCCCCCAAGCATACAGGCTAAGATTATTCAGGAAATAAAGTTTCTTATGAACAGAACGAGCAACTTCAGACTTCCAGATTACTGTAAAGTGACTGACATGAATGAGAAGTGGGTGAAATACAGAAAGACATACACAAATTGCAACACTGCCCTCACCATTATTTTTATGCACATTTGTAATGGTCAATGTTGCACGCTTCATTACTACGTTCATGCCCTCTGGCAGTGTCATGGACTGGTATGCCAGCGTCTGAATACTTAATACTCCAGTCATATGTCTGATGCTGAATATGAACAACCCATGTCACATAAACATATGTGCAATATACCACAAACATAATATTCACATGTAACACAAACAATACTACTACCTGAGTGAGCATACACCAAGTGGCTGCAGCTGATTGGCTCACAAGGTCACGTGACACTAGATGTGCATACGTGTCCACAACTTGGTCACCATCGTTTGTGTTGCACATTTCAAGGTGTGGCATCACAGAACCGCCAAGACATTCTTGTGCAACAGCTGACCATGCTATCCCTCTGTTCAGCTGTATGGTTGGGTTGGTCGGTGCTCAGACATGGTGATGGTGAATTCTAGTTGGACAGAAGACCACATCAATGAGCTCTGGCTGTGCTCCTTGAAGACCCATCGTGTCTATCCTCCGTGTGATGTGGAAGACATGAAAAAGCTGCTACTCTCATCAGAAAACAGTAAGTCACAAAATGGTAAGGAAATCAAGTATGAATGGTCTTCGTGGTTTAAAATATGTCATCGGAAATTGGAACACATTAGCTTCTGGTCAGGCAAAACATAAATACTGTAAAGAGAAACACAGAAACTTTACCAGACACTAGCAAGAACAATGGAGCTACTTCGAAGGTGCTAGCTTTAATCTGCCAGTGACATCAGGCCATCACAGAATCATTACGCTATCTGAGCCCAGACATTTGCAGCAGTGGGAGAAGTGAATAACCTTGGTGGTAATTATGTAGAGTAGGGGACAGATGCAAGTATGTCACGGAGTGTTATTTGTATTGATTTGTTGTGCCCATAGTGCATATTGAACAAATACAGAAAACTTCTTCCATAGGTCCATATGAAATCTAAGACTATGCTCTTAGTTGAGAACACGGAGCTTTCATATTCTTAATGTACTGTTCTCTCAAAACATGTATACTCACATCAATGAATCCATAGGTGCAGAGCAACAAGCATCGCTGAAAAGCAAAACTGACTCGAAGAAAGCAAGAAATCTTATAAAAATTGTATCGGTTGGCCAGTTCAGGCCCGAGAAGGATCACCCACTTCAGCTAAGAGCGATGTACGAGTTACGGCAGCTTGTTCCTGAAAATGTGTGGGACAATGTGAGTAAACAGCTGAAAACATGGCTATAAATATAACTGACAAATTCAGAAAGAAACTCTGTTTTAATATAACATTTCTTTGTAACACATTCATCTAGTATTGAGAGTCTTTCCAATCATTTGGCTGTTAAGCTGTATTCACACAAAATATTGTGTGTTGGTAGATAATGCTGGTATTTGTGGGGTCTTGCCGGAACAGAGAGGATCAGGATAGAATCAAAGACATGCAAGATTTGTGCAAGCATTTGTCTTTGGAGAACAATGTCCAGTTCAAAGTTAATGTCAGCTATGATGAGCTCAAGAAAGAACTGCAGGAAGGAACAATCGGCTTGCACGCTATGTGGAATGAACATTTTGGCATTGGTAAGAAATTCGTTGGTGAAAAATCATTAAATGTAATGATAGATTTAATTCTGGAATTAAGATTGCCATTTCATCATCTTGACATACATTGAGGGAAATGTTTCCTTTAAGTGCCGTATTTGAGCTTTGGTGATTTTAGCAATTTATGAAAAGCAGATCTGATAGGGATTATGGTGTATATTACAGGTGTGGTGGAATGTATGGCTGCAGGACTCATTATGGTGGCACATCGATCTGGCGGCCCACTTATGGATATTATTATGGAATCAGAAGGAAGTCGGAATGGCTTCCTGGCAGAAGATGAAACTGAATATGCTCAGGCTATTGCCACCATATTGAAATTATCTTCACAGACAAGAAAACAGATTCAGGATGCTGCAAGGTGAGTGAAATACAATCTTTAATGAAGCATTTATTTCTTCATATTAATTTCTGTTTCTCCATGAGAATAATAAGATATTTTCCTCTCATATTAAAAGACTATTCATTTTCAAATGTGGAAAGGAATTTGTTCTCTGCTTACCATCTTTTCTGATCCTTCTTAAATTTACTTTCAGGGCATCAGTAGATCGGTTTTCTGTAGAAGAATTTGAAAAGGGATTCTTAAGAGCCATGGACCCTTTTTTTAGAACACACAGTGAAACATAAAAGTGAACATACTTATACACTTTATTTAAGAACAGAAGTTCGATAAGGAAAAGAAGATACTGACTGAAGATAAATGTTAACAGCAAGTAGCATTTATAAGTGCTAATGATTCCTTGACACACACACAAAAACTATTTGCTACAGCTGTTAATGCTAAGACCCTTCATGAAGCCTCATCCATTTTCTGTAGTCTATAGCATATTTGTTCCAAATATAAATTGCTAATTTACATGAAACCAGCAAAGTCTATGTCTCATGCATGATTTAAACTACTCCAAATAATATCCACATAACTGGGTACCTGTACCGAGTAAATTAATTAGGTAATATAATTATTTTTATGAAAAATAATATTTCTTATTATCAGCAGTAACAAACAAGTTACGTGAAAACAGAAGCTGCAGAAAAGTTTTGTGACACTTTCCAAATAACAACGGAGACCTGTTGACAACTATTAACATTTTGAGAAAGGTCTTTTGGGTATAAATTCAGAAAATAAAATTTATAAGTCATTAATTTATAAAAATAAAGAATGTTATTGGTATAATAACATCCTAAATTTATATTTTATGGCATCAGAAAGCATACAGCATAAGGAGAACTGAAGATACAGGCAACAATCACAGTGTGTACTAAACTGTGAAATGTTTATTTTTCATAAACTGTTTATAAGTGTCTGCAAGGTGGCATATGAAGCAACTTGCTAGTGAATAATCATGTCTTTGTACCATCTGATGTATAAAGGCTGTTGTGTATTGTGTCTATTGAATTAAATGCCTTATAAAAGTAATTTACTATCCTTTATCCTTCCTGTTCAGATTGTTAGCACTTATACCATTACAGTGACCTGGAAGAAAGTGAAGTTCCGAGCTACTAATATAATAGTAAATCCATGCTCAAATATAATAACAATTGTTCAAGACAAATTTATGGCTCTTACAATTTCTGCTTTGTGTTGAGAATACTTCTCTCACTAACCACTTAAGGAATGAATGTATCCACTCTGTATTCTATGTTCAGAATGTCTGGAGAGACTTAACTGATTGGTAGGCATGAGAATGGAGTTTTACTTCCATGCCACGGTGCTTAGAAACAAGCACAACTTTGTGTTTAAAACTTCTTCAGTCTTAGCAAACAATTCTGCAATTCTACAAAGTCTTTATTGCTTTAGGAAAATAAATTTGCATATGAATACGACATAAACATTACAGACCTCTGATTTTGAGAACAGATTTTGATGGAGAAAATTGGACATGAAAGTAACTGGACAAAAACTGGCACATAATCATCATTGCCCTGACTTCTCCTATCAGTGCTAGATGCTAAGGGATGTATTTCAGTGGTCTACTAAATGAAGGTGTGGAATATAAGTAACAGAAAACATACTTTTTTTCTATTCTTTATGATAAAGTGTGTCATAAGTAGCTATCTGTATACTACAGAATCCCATCACTGTCAAAACATTCCTTTCTTACTACACACCTTGTGATTAGCCTTGAAGTTTGTGCACTTTGCATTTGATATGTATAGTTGTATGCATGAACATCACAGCTTGTGGTTGTTTTGCTTCACGCATTACTATGCAGGTAGACAGATAAGTAGATTACTGTCAAATGGAAACTAACACAAGTTGTTTTTTCAAAGACAGTAATAACACAGTATTTATTCTGATCTTTAATTTCCAGGCTTGTAACATGAGACTGCTTTCTCCTGAAGGAAACTTACATTAACATAATATATCTTGAAAGCCAAAATGTTCCATCTGTCCTTCCTTCAAAATCAGTACCACTACATTTGCTCTAACTGTAGGGCATACCAGAAATGATTATATTCAGAACAGCATACAGACATCAGTTTAAATTTCCCACCTGGAAGTTCTGTTTGAACAGCATGTTCCTCATAAATTAGAAGAGTGCTGTACAGTGTTGTAGGCGGCCACTATGAACAGGTGTAGGTAGGTCAAAAGCTGCACATTGGTTGAACAACTTTCTCTCAGGCTTGCTCTCATTTCAGTACGTCAGTGTTATGTGAAGCTGCCATCAGCCATTCAAACCTGCTGCTAGGAGAAAAGAAAAAATGAAACTCTTGTTAATTTGGATGCTGTTTTGTTGTAATCTCTTGGTGACATCAGTATATTCAAAACCCACAGTCTATAAGAAAAATGAAAATGATAAACTAGAGCCAGGTAAGCAAGTGTTTCTATTGTGTGAGACTTATAAAGTTCCGATCAATTTGTGTACCATAAAATGTTACATAAACCACCAAACAGAATAACACAAGTTGTATTTGATGATTTATATGATATAATAATATTTACCCAGTACAATGATAAAATTTGCATTTGAAAGCATGTAATGCTAACTTCATTTTCAGTTGTTCCATATTATAACTACCAATGCTGAATGTGATTACATACACAGTACCCTGAAAAATCCCCGTCATGACACAATTATTTCTTAGCTTGCATGTCAAAAGCAAAGGAAGAAAGTTCTGAAAAAAAATTCTTTGCATACTTATGTCACATAAATAGTACTTAATATAAAACAATACTACCACCATAATATTACACGGACTACATGTTTGCAAATAGCACGAAACAACTTAAAATCATGTGCTTCTACAGCTTGCCAAACAGAATAATCTGTCATCATGGGTTTGTATAAACAAAATAAATGTTCTCATATCTGAACATTTAGCAAATGAAAACAGTCAACATTCACTGTAAATTTTCTTCTTTATACAGTTTTACAAATGAGTGTTGCTATCCCAACATTTTAGTAAAGAATTCATAATCTGAGATTCTCACCACACTGAAGATGTTGATATTAGTTTTCTGGACTGTAGCACCACGTAGATACAATATTTTGGAAGAATATACTGCGTCAATCTTCTGGGCTGAAAATGGAGGCAGCATTTTCCTTCAAAATGTTGGTAGTTAACTACAAGTCCACATGGTGTTACCAGCACTGACAATTCACAAACTGACGTCACTGTCTTTTGGGATTGTGCCATGTGGTCTGGTAGAAGTTGCTTGCTGCTTCCATCTTCAGGGTCTCATCACCGGTAGGATGGCCAGTTTCATGTCTAACACACAGCAACAGTGCTACAACTATAGCATGACAGTAAGTTACAAAAGTCATTCAAATTCACCAGGAGTCTGCTGGGAAACCACAACCTCAGTATACGAGTACAAAGCATGCACATAACAGAGACATCATTCAGTCAGCTATTGTGTGCTTCTTACTGTTTATGTAGATGTCATACTACATGAAGATGCTGCACATTATTTAATATATTAATTCTGAAGCTTTTAAGACTGATGAGAATGTTTAAAGAGATGGCTCATTATGGCATCACGCTTACCTGCCTCCACCAAGCACATCAGGACAATGACCTTGAACACTCCTCATGTTACAGTATTAGTACCTGTTTCGTCCACGGTGATTCCTCTACCTGTATACAAGGTTGGATTTGGAGTTGGTGTTGATGGGACAGGCAAGAAGGCAGCCAAACCAGATGAAGCTACCAAACTCATCACAGGTATTGTCTAGTACATAATATCCATTTTCATTTTTCACAAAGCTTGTACATAGAGCATCCATGTCTACTTTGGAACATTTAATCCACTTTACCAAACTCAGTACAGCATTTACATTATGCAATCTCTTTAGGGTTGCTTATTTTCTAATGCAGCATTTAACTGCACTGGTAAACTATTTTATTTGTTTTTCAGCTTATAAGAAGAAAACAGCAAACAGAGATGACGATGAAGAATCAATTAGCATCAAACAAATATCAAAAGATGAATATGAGAAGAGCTCATGAATACCATGCTTGTAATGTCATTTGAGATTGTAACATGTTGCTTACTAATGAAAAAAAACAACAAGAACCTTCCTGAAATAATAATGATGATCAAAATTGTGCACCTACCTGATAATCTATTTAAATTGTTAATATTAATTCACTACACTTGTCAAGGCATTTGCATAATTTAATCCTTACTACATAGAGTTAATTTACTTTTTGCATGTAAATTTGTTAAGACATTTCCCTGTGACGTAGAAGTTGGCAAGGTTTATTAATTTCAATACAAATCTGTTATGTACTTTTCTTTACAAGCTGAAATCTGTGCTAGTGAAAAAGACATATATAAATGGATCAATAAAAGTATAGTTGATACTTGAGGTTCTCACAGCAGTGAAGATGTCCATGTTGGTCTTTGGGGCTCTTGCACAATATGGACTTCAAGGCAGATACTAATGTTTCAAATGGACATACTGCCTCCATCTTCAGCCCTGAACAATGAATGGCTGAACAAAATGACTGCCTTATGTAAAGAATATATCATGCAAACACTTTTGTTACTGACTGCAGAATTTCAGCACAAAGGCACTGTTCAGGTCTTCATTAAATTCACATTCTCTTCAGGCTGCTCCTTCCATCAATTCTTCTTCTGTGAAAGAAACACAATTCCCTGACAAATGAAGAAGAATGACTATTTCTAACAAAATTAAAGGTGATCAAATTCTGGATTTTGTTAAACAGTGCCTTGTAATGAAGTACTTGTAGCAGTTTTAAGCAGCTGCACCAATCCACTGTCAAATCATGCTGTAATCCCCTTATTTAAATTGGTATCACTTGGATGTCCATCACGCCACCTACACACACTATTACTCCTCCTTCAGTATAAATTTGCAGTAAAACTGCATGTACATCATGATGTACCACTAAGTAACATGCTCCAGCACTGTACAGCCTCAAGTCACATTCACAAATGGTTCTCAGCTCGCTTAAAAAATAAACACTTTAATCCATCTTCGTGTAAAACTTTTTATAATATGGTATCTGGCAAAACTCACATGATAAACTACAGCAAACTAATTTTGTTCAAGTTATTTCATACAATAAAGATGACAGTGACCCTGAAGAAACACAACAAAGTTATTATTGTGATCTACACGAGTTCTTGGTTTATATGAGAAATATATATATGCATTATTCAACATTCTGTAAGATGAGGAATTTACACTTTAATTTGAAAATAAAGGCAAGTATCTAAGATTGTACACATCACTGTTACTGTTAATACACTAGTTTCTTGAAATATCTGAGTTGTTTGCAAGGATTGTATCTTATGGATCCAGTAACATTTTTTCCGAAAGTTCTAATTTTATAACGAAAACTGATTAAAAAACCCACAGTTTATCTTACTACATCAGGATGGTCCATTTGATTCTTATGGTAACTACAAAATTGTCTTACCCATTTCATTAAACATAAATTCATCCTGGTATTCTTTAAGGAACTGTGTGGATCTGCTCTCATCCAGGAAGAGCGAGTACACTCTCTTCACGTCCTCAATGTTCACCTACGAGAAACGCACATAAGGAATATGACATTACTGTATGGAAAACAACATTTTTGTCACTTACTTCCAATATGATGAAGTATGTACTGATATTTGCTGACGAGGGAGTAACAGTGGGTTGAACTACACACTTGATAAATCTGGGATAAAAGAAAAATTGTAATCTCACTATAGCCCTACATCTTCAGATAGTGAAGCCACATGTGATTTGTTATCTTTAAGATTTTGTCTTTCAGAATCTTAAAAAGTACAACTGGGCAACCATACTCAATATCTTTTCTTCAGTTCTAATTAAGTGTGAGTTAGCCTATTGTTGCACCAAGGCCTTCACTTTTACAAAAGATAAATCACACTTAATACGAGGCATAATTTTGTGTAGTAAAAATTTAAGAAATAAAGTCTGAAAGAAACCAGTAGCTGCTATGCAGTGAGTGTAACCACAGCAGAAGTTCAAACACTCACCACTGGTGAAGGAGCAACATTAACCTAAAAGAATGGGACTGCCGTACCTCGTTGCCCTTCCTTTTTCGACAGACAAGACTGGCCGTTGTGATGAGCTGAATGGCATAACGAAGAGAAGTTTCAAGAGCAATGCGTGTCAACACAGTAAGGGCATCATCAGACATCTCACAATCCTCCTCCTCACACCTGCAAAACAGTCACCAGAATCACACGGCACATAACAACATTTTAATTCACCGCAGATATAAATATACTACTGCCCCTCAACTAAACAAAACACGCAACATTAACATACAAAAACCATGCTTTAGCTGTTACTATAGGTTAAAAACACTAACACAAATTATGTTGGTACCACACCTTATCTTTAAAATCTCTTTGAGGTCCTTCTCCTGATAGGGTGATGTGGAAACTATAACCATCCTGTCCAAAAGATCTATTGGGATACCATGTGGAGATTTGTAGTTGGTACCCCTGATACGTGTGATGCCACGATTGGTAGCCATGATCACTACTGGAGCCATTTCATTCTCAAGGGCTCGATTCAAAAATGAGAAACACTCTATGTCCAACATATGAACCTGCAATTAACCAATAAATGGGCTTCACCAGAACTTCTCGGACAGTTCTATTACCTATTATTTTTAATCGTTTCAAAATACACAGACACAGCAAAAATTGTATGCAATCCAATAGAACAGTTTATTTATTTGTAGTTTATTTAACAGCACTTTTTCCGCAGCTCAGACCATAAAGCTTCGAATGAGAGGATGACAGTGAGCTGGAAAGGATGTGGAAGGAAGTGCCCATGGCCTAATTTAAGGTAGCATACCAGCATTTGCCTGAAGGGACTGAGGAAAACCACAAAAACCCAGTCAGGATAGCCTGTCTCTGGGTTGAGATTTGAGCCTGGTATCTCCTGAATGCAAAGAATACAGTCATTTTTATTTTCTGTCTGAGCAGAGTAACTGCTCCTTGTGGGTCCCAGTATTTGACTTCAATGGTACTTGGGCACTCGAGGGGAGATGATAAAGCAAGGCAGAACTCTGTGAACAGCTCATCAGTTTAGATACCCTA